CGCGGACGTGGCCCCCACTGCCGCTGCCACCACAATAACACCGCCCTCCGCGGCCGCCCCCCAGCAGCCACCCACCCCCGAGGTGACGTTCTTGGAACCGCCGCGGTTCTCCTACACCGGCAAGTCTTCGGCCAGGCAGAGGCCCAGCCTGGACCTCATAGTGTCGCGACTCTTTTCGCAGCGCGCCGCCATCGAGGCCGCCGAGGCCGCCGTCAAGAACAAAGGCGATGCCGCCACGCTGCTGGACGAGAACAGCAACCACAAGGACGCGGTGCAGCATGATTTCCAGGCCGTGGTCCGGGCGGTGGTCGATGGCGGCGTCGACGATCTGGACCAAGGCGCGTCCCCAGACCTGGCCGACGTGTATGCTGTCACCGCCGCCTCGCTGGACGCGCAGCACCCCAACTCGCTGGTGTGCGCCATCTGCCTGAAGAGCTTCGAGCACCGCGACGCACTGCTGCGCCACGTGGAGGACGAGGTCCGCGACATCACCAACCAGGCCAAGCGGGGGCGGACGCGGCCGCGCAGGAACCCGCCGCGCGACGCCTCGCCGCGGGACGCCTCGCCGGACGTGACGTCGTCGCGGAGCAGCTCGCGGAGCAGGCCGTTGAGGGCCGTCGCGAAGAAGGCCAAGCTGGAGCCGGCCGCCACCAAGTGGACGTGCACGCAGTGCCAAGCCTCCTTCTCCAAGCGCGCCGAGCTGCGCGAACACGTGGCCGTGGAGCACAAGGAGGACGCCGAGCGGCCCCACAAGTGCCCCGTGTGCGCCAAGAGGTTCGCGCGGCGCGCGCACCTCGAGCAGCACCAGCTGCTGCACACGGACGAGCGCCCCTTCCAGTGCGGGCACTGCGGCATGGCGTTCCGGCGGAAGGACCGCCTCGTCGTGCACGTGCGCACCCACACGCCGCGCGGCGCCGAGCCCAGGGCGGAGCCCAGGGACCCCGTCAACGCCGCGGCCACCACCACCAGCACCAAGACCCCCGTGACGGCAGAGGCGGCGCCCAAGCTTCGGAGCGCCGCCAACGCCAAGCCCCTCGAGATGCGGCAGGCCGCCGCCCCGCCCGCCGCGGACGCCGACGAAGCCCTGTCCTGCATGACGTGCTCCAAGAAGTTCTCCACTAAGAGCAGCCTGCGGCGCCACGTGCTGGCCGTGCACGCCCGCACCATGCCGCACGTGTGCCGGACGTGCGGCAAGAACTGCTTGACGAAGAAGCGGCTGCTCGCGCACGTGGCGCGCCACATCGCGGACCGCGTGCGAACGCTGCGCTGCGGGGAGTGCGGCGACGTCCTCGACGACCAGAAGGCCCTGTTCCGGCACCGGAGGACCAAGCACGCCGGCGGCGGCGACGACGCCAGCCAGCCCAAGGCCGATGTCGGCCAGGCCGCGGTCCCTTCGAGCGCGGCGCCGTCTAGTACTTCCACCAGTGCACCGCCTTCCACTGCGTCATCCTCTAGTACATCTTCCACTACTTCGACACCGAGCGGAGGTGGGCGCCCGAACGCGACGCAGTCTGGCGCGTCCAGCAAGCCTCCCCAGAAGTACGTGTTCAAGATCGTGTCCAAGAACGGCTCCAGCCGCACCGCCAACATGGCCGCCAAGCTGCTGCCCACGCTGGCCAGCGACTTCGCCGCCAAGCGGAACCAGGGCGCCGGAACCAAGAGTCCCTCCAAGGTGGTGTACATGGTCATGTCCAAGAACTCGAAGCCAGGGGCGGCGGCTGCAGCGGGCAGCGGCGACAAACCCGTCTCCAAAGTCCTGATGCAGATCGTGTCCAAGGACGGCCCCTGCAAGAAGGTGCCGTGCCTGGTGCCGCGGACGCCCCCGAAGGTGGGCTTCAAGGTCGTGTCCAAGGTGGTGCCTCTGGACAGCTCGGCGTCGAAAGAGGATCCCAGGTTGTCTGCAGCGTACACTGGCGCCGCCAACCCGGCCGCTGCCAGCACCAAGGCCTTCTTCGGCAGGCCGGCAACACCGACTGCGTGGCCTACGCCGGCGCTGAGTCCGGCCCTGCGGAATCTTCCTGGAGTCACTCCACTGTTCGGCGCGCCCCCGTTGAGCAGCCCGTACCTGGCTGCCCCCACAGGCGGTGTCTCCTTGGACACTGCGTTCGTAGCCGCACCCCCTCTGGGCGCCCCCTACCTGGACGGCCCCTACCAAAACGCTGCCCACCAATGCAACGCCCTCCCGGCCAGCCCTTACCAACACATCGCCTTCCCGGGCGCCTCCTACCCCGGCCCCCAGGACGCCCCGCTCCTCGGCGCCCCCTACCTGGATGCCCCCTTGCTGGACGCGCCCTCCCTCGACGCCCCCGTGCTGGAGCTGGCCCCTCAGGGAGACGCCACTCCCGCCCTGCCGAAGGGCCCCTGGAACGAGAAGCCCCGGGCGAAGCAGTTCCCGGCCGCCGCGGACGGCCGCTACCTCTGCGACGTGTGCGGGAGGCGCTTCATGAGCGAGGCCCTGTACTCGCTGCACGTGCAGGTGCACAAGGGGAAAGTCGTCAAGACCTTCGAGTGCCAGTGCTGCGGGCAGAGATTTGTGGACAAAGAAGTGCTTCGGGCACACTGGCAAACTCATATGTAGTCGATTCTTATTGTAAATATTGTTAATTATTTTTATCATGTCAAGTTTTTTTTCTCACTCTGTTGAAACATGGAATAGGATTTTACTGCAATGATCTCTTGTTTTGTTTTATTGAAAAGGGTAGTAGGAGTTTAATGTTACAGTTACTCATTTGTTGTATACAATAATTGACATAAGACAGATACAATCTCCCAGGAAGAGTGATCTCATTGTTTTCTTGTGACCGTACTGCATCTACCTTGTACTATTTATGTGACCTTATGGCAATCCCTCAAGATAATTTTATTTGTAACATTTAAATTGAGAGTTTTATAAGTTTTCAAACCGTTGCTCTGCTACTGTTTGCAAATGATTTATGTTTTGTGACATTTGATAGAACGTTAATTTTTCGGACGTGTTAGTAATCACCCATTGACTTTGTGTCATTGTTTTTGCTGTAAGAACTTTGAATCATTCCTCATCATCCTTTTTCCCCAGCCATCCAGTTGCCTCTTTTTCTTTGACTGTCAATCACCATTTTCATTTTCAAGTCATTACTTGGTGCTGTTCTATTCTGCTAGGTAATTTCATCAACTGTGACGTTACATGCCTTCTAGTTTAGTTCTTTTTATTTTTTTAAAATGTACTAAAGATTTTTCAAAATGACAATAATACATAATTTTTTAAAAACCATTGTCTGTTTGGCTTCTGCTTTCCCAGCTTGAATGACCGCCTGTAGACAGGGGTTGCGTTTTGTTTGACCGGCGTTAAATGGTTTAATGTCCATGAGTGGACAACATTTTTTCCAAGTACGAGTTCAGGGTTACGGCACGCTTTTCCCAGTTACTCCACACTGAGAATGAATTGGTCACCACCATCGCCCTTTAAATGGGTGATGCAACTTCGTTGCCCAAATTTTGGTGACGAAAAATTCATCACCCGAAATTTGGTAACAGGCGTTTGGTCGCCCAAATTTGGGTAACGCCGTCGGCGACGCTGTGAGGTTCCCGATGGCGTCCTTCCGGGGCCACCACGATGACCGGAGGCCTCAACGCCACATTGGTTCATCGTGGTGGCCCCGGAAGAGCGTCATCGGGGACCTTACGGCGTCACCGACGGCGTTACCCAAATTTGGGCGACGATTTTATGACTGCCCAAAATTTGGTCACCGCGGGCTCGTCACCCAAATTTGGGCAACGGTGCGTGCGTTACCCAATGAAAGGGCGATGGTGGTGACTCTTTCATTCTCAGTGCAGCCAAGTACAATTCGCTCAAGCGGCAGTCCAGTCCAGTCCAGTCGTGCGCCTGACGGCAGCGATACCCCGTGCGTCGGAGACACTGTGCGTGCTGGTTCCACGGCGCGCCGCTGCCCGCCGGGAGGGCAGCACTGCTCCACACCTGTTGTTGCCGAGCGGGGCCGGGCGGCGCGGGGGAGGGCGAGGGGCCGTGTGGGCCGGGGGAAGGGGGGGGGAGGGAGAGCGGGGAGGCCAGTGTTTACAACATGGCCGCCGGAGCGGGCCCCGTCTCGCATGGTTTCTCCAAAGTCAGTTGGATTGAAGCCGCCCTGGGCGGAGGCCCTCGTTGCAGGCCCTGCTAGCCGTCGCGAGTTCGTGTTCCCATGCCATGTAGACGTGCTTCGAGTCCGTTGCTCGAACTGGCGGTCGACATCCGCGGTTCGAATCCCTGCGGCTGCCGCGACTTTTGCGAGCGCTGCGCCTCGGCGCAGACGCGCCCGCACTCGGCCACCTCGGCCCTGGCGATGGCAGCGCTGCGGGCCAAGCGGGCCGTGCAGGCCGTGCTGCTGGTGGCCGCCGTCGCCTACATGTCCCTCCTGCTGTACCAGAGTGTCACCGCGGCAGGATACGCGCAGCAGGTGTGTAACAGTGTGTGTGCCAGTGTCAGTGAAACAAGTGTCATTAGTGAGTTTCACACGTTCAGAAAATTGAGTGTGACGGTGACACCTGGTGGACATCATCTGAAGTGCATTCAAATTTGTCGAGCGATTTCATTCTGAGATGCTTTTGTTTTTCGACGCAGTTATGTATGTGAGTGCCACCGGGTGGCGCGCAATTTGAATTCAAAATTGGTGACAGTGCTCTCGCGAAATTCTAAGCCGTGAGCTTTTCCGTTTCCCCAGAATTAAACCTAAATGCCAATAAAATTGTTGGATTTGAAACCGGGCTGGTCCTAACCACTGCCTTCTGCCCAACAGGGTCCTGGCCGGCCGGCGAACGCGGCGGCGCTGGGGTTGTCGGGGTTCTCGGGGCAGAGGGGGAGCGGCGCCCGGCTGCCGCAGCAGGCCGTCGGCGACCCCGAGCCCGTCAACGACGTGGGCAACGCCCTGGACCCCGACCCCGTGACCGTGCCGGTGCAGCCCTCGCTGCCGCCCCTGCTGCCCAACCCCGCCGTCGGCCCCGCCGGCACGCAGACCGTCCACGGCGGCGTCGGCGGCGTCGGCGTCAGCGGGGCGGGGGTCATGACGGCGGCCACGGCCACGAGCAAGCCGCCCACCACCACACTGCAGGACGTGTTCGTGAGCGTCAAGACGACGCGCTCCTACCACCGCTGGAGGCTTCCCGTCATCCTCAAGACGTGGTTCCAGCTCGCCAAGGAGCAGGTGAGTCCCGCCTTCGCGGCCCCTGCCGGTACTCGAACCGCCGACCCTGGCCTCCGAATCGCGGTGCCGCGAACCGCTCGGCCAGGGGGAAGTTCCGGCCACCGCGGTGCAGTCAGCGACCGGCCACAAACGGCCTGTCTGCGCGAGATGAGAATGGAACCGAACCCGCGCTTTATACATAGTGCAACCGCCTTACTCACACACGCGCACGGAACGGGAGGGCCTGGAACAAGAGCGACAGAAGTCCCCGAACCCCTTTGAAGCCTGATTCCGAATAGTCCTGTCTCTCTCGCACTCCTGCGCGCCGCCGAGCGCGGCGTGTGAGTGCGGGCGGGACGGAGCCTGCCGGGCAGTTCCTGGATTCCTTATCTCTGCCGCTTCGTTTCCATGCCTTGCTTTTATTCTCCGTTCTACTTCTGTTATGGTTTCCGCCCGGTGGGAGGGTCTTGACGGCGGTGCCATGGCGGCGCGCTGGACGCGGCCGTAGACTGCGCACTTTACTTTGTCGGGGACTTGGTCTGTTTTACGACGCCGACTGTTCCCCCTCCCCTGTTTACTCTTCCGTTAGCAAGGTCCGACGCGTCCCTGTTGCTCATTTGTTTCGGCCGCGCGATACACGAAAAAGTTTGAAATGCGTGCGCGTTCTCAGCAATTCGTAATTTGTCTGCCCTGACGGGGTGGCGCGTGTAGTCCTCTTTGTTGTTGTTGTCGTGTTGTCATTTTTTTGTCGGAAAGGGGGGCTGCGCTGCCGCGCTGCGCCCATGCTGTTATTTCGTGTGTAGGTCTATTTCATCAACCCAAACACGCCGTGTGTGAGTGTGTGAGTGTCTGTGGTATAAACCCCCGCGGAGCGGAGAAGGGGCACTCGGCCCGTCCGAGACACTTGACGTATGGTGTTGCTTTTTCCCAGACGTCGGGATTGCTTTTGACAAGTAAAGGGGAGAGGATCGACCTTGGGGCCGGGCAGGGCCGTTGGTGGCAGCCCTTTGACAGGGGCGGCGCGGTGGCAGCCGATCGCTCCGTCTCTCTCGCACGCTTATGGGGATCCCCGTGAGTGCGACAGAGACAGAGTGGGGAAACGAATCTCCTGAATCGCTCGGCAGTCCCCTACCATACGTCCCACCTGCTCGGCGAGAAGGCCCTGTAGGTCCCCAGGGTGCTCGCTCATACACTGGTAAACCTGGTGCGTTCTTAGCGCCTTTTTTTCACCAGTGTAGACGATGGCGACGGTGAACTGCATTGCCCGGAACAGGGTTCTGCAAGCCTCCCGCCTGCGAGGTAGGCAGGCACGCGCGACGCACCAGCGCTGCGGGTCTGCCCGCCCTGGAGTCCGCAGGCGTTTCTCCAGGGACCAAAGGATCCGCTTTGCGAACCCCAACTGCTCCCCGCGTTGCCTGGGACACATGTAGCAGTGTGCTCTCTGTCTCTCTCCTGCCCATAGATTAGCGGGGCGCGTTTCGATTCGAGTCGGGTTCCTCTTTTTTCCGCGACGGGCCAAGCGGGCTCGCGGGGGGGAGCCTCTCTCTCGCTCTCCATGCGGTCCAGAACGGCCGGCCGGTCGGCCCGGCACTGCCGGCAGACAGAGACAGACGCCGGCAAAAGGGAGCGCGCGCCGCTTATTGGCAGGTCAGTTGATTATTGGCGGACATAACTTAGGGACCTCGCAGTGGCGTGGCGTGGCTGAGCAAAGTGGAAAACGGCGAGCGGCGCCTGGGGAGTTGCACGCCACGCCACGCCACGCGTTGCTGATGGATTCGAGACCGGCCGGCCCGTTGCATGCTCAGGGCTCGTCTCGCCGCCGCCGCTGTTTTTGACTTTCGACGAACGCAAGGAAGAAGGTGGCGGCGGCGGTGCACCAATCAAAAATAATAAATCTTTCGCCAATTTTTTTTTGTGCGCGTTTTTTTTTAAATTTTGTTTTGAGCTTGGCAAATATTTGGTAGGTGGTCGCCTGATTAACTCTCCCTTGTCAGTGCCGCTCGGGGCAATAATTCGTGGACCCGCGGGCCGCGAACGCCAAAAGGCCCAAAAGGCCCGAACGGCAAACACGACACCGTAAAAAGCCGCGGCCGGAATGCGTCATTCCTCCCCGTCGCGCCGCTTCGGCCGCTTCATTAGCGGTGTCCCCACGGGGTCCCCTCCGGCACACTGGGAGTCGTCGCTCTGTCTCCCTCGCACTCGCAGTGCAGCGCGTATCGGTGCGAGAGAGACAGAGCGACGACTGTCGGAATGGGTCGGCCGAGTCCGGCCAGGCGAGCCGACGGCAAGGGCCGGGGCCGCACAGTGGGCCAGAAGACCGGTGGAGGCGGCCAAAACTCTAGACGCGTTTTGAGCTCCAGAGTCGCTGAATGGGACTCGAACAGAACGTGTGACCCCACCAATGGATTGCTCTCCGAACGAGGAATCCATTGGTGGTCACTCGTTCGGTTCGAGTCCCATTCAGCGACTCTGGAGCTCAAAACGCGCCTGGAGTTTTGGCCGCCTCCGCCGGTCTTCTGGCCCACTGTCGGGGCCGGCCGAGGCCTTGGATGGAGATATTCGGTCCGGAGATGTAGTGCCGACGCGCTCCGCACAGTAGTCGAATTCCGGGGAGAGGCCGAACACGCCGGGCCGAGCCGGCCCTTGTAATGTGGGGACTGTGGCGACTGCGGGGACTGCGGGGACGCCGTCGTGGCGATGCCTTCCTTGGCCAGGCGACGACACTGCGACGCGTGTGGCGTCGTGCCTCCGCGTGTAGCCGACACGTTGGTGGCATTCCCCTGGCGAGCGATTCAGACGAGCGGTTGGTCGCTCCGTCTCTCTCGCACCCACGCGGAGAGACCCCCACGAGTGCGACGGAGACAGCGACCGCCGGGCAACCAACCGCACCCACCACACGATTTATTGCTTTCGAGTGGAGTGGACACTGGCCGCGCCCCGCCCAGCTTGAGGCGTCCCTCTTAGGCTTCATCGACGTCTCGGTCATTTCTGTTTCCGCGTTCTAGTGTTAATTTTAGGTTAATTTTGCAATGTTTTCGTGTTAATGAACGACACCGCGGACGCGTCCTGGTCGCGCGGCGCCGCGAGTCCGATTATTCCGAGAGTCCTTTTCGTCGCTCTGTCTCTCTCGCACCTTCACTGGTCGCCCTATGAGTGCGAGAGAGACAGAGCGACGGCTGGGCGCGTGTCAAGTGGTACGGCGGCGGTGCCGAGGTGCATTCGAATGGGGGCGACGTGGCCGGTGGCCTTGTCAGGGAAAAGGACTGGAGTCCGATGGGCGGGGGCTGGCTGCCTGCACACTGATTCCGAGAGTCGCTTTCGTCGCTCTGTCTCTCTCGCACTCATGGAGCGTCCCGTGTAGGCGCTGCACGTGGACCTGGAACGAGGCAACAGACAAACATGCTGGGAAACAGACAGACAGACAGACGCTCTGACAAACAGACAAATAGTTATTCAGACACACAGTCAAACAGACATGACAAACAGAACGGATGAAACAGCTGACAATGAGCCGTACGGTACTGGCAGTCAGATAGACCGAGAGACTGCGTCCTATTCCGACGCAACAGACGAGCAGGCTAGTGACTCATAAAGTGACATGCAGCACGGGGGGCGCGCGTTTGGGTGGGCGGGCCTTGCAGGGCCTTGCAGGGCCTTGTGGTGTAGTGGAGTGTTTTGCCGGCGTCGCTGGTCTGTAAAACACACTCGGCGCTCAACACGCGAGCGGCGCGGAGAGCACGCCGCCGCCGTGCCGCCAGGCTGGGTTCCCAACGGCGCCCCCGTCGCTCTGTCTCTCTCGCACCCCTACGGAAGGCCGCGCGAGTGCGAGAGAGACGAATGCCGCCGCGCATGTCAGCGCCGCCGCCATGAAGGCCGTGAACCAACCCGCAGCACGCCGCAGCATGGGGGGGCACTTGAAATTTCCAGTGTGTGTGTGTGAGTGTGTGTGTGGCCTGGTGCACGCCCAGTGCAGCCGGGATCCGGGTGGCGTGGCGTGGCGTGGCGTGGCGTGGCGCGCCGCGGACGCACGCGGTCCCATTGCTCCAAAGTCTGCCGTGCCGGCCGTGCCGGTAGCCCTTGTCCGCGGCGGACTCGTGGGTGGGGCGAGGGCCTGCATGGCCTGCATGCACTGCATTTGATGAGGAGACTTTCATTATTCATGGCTGTGTGTGTGTGTGTGTGTGTGTGTGTGTGTGTGTGTGTAATGAGTGGGAAAGGGGGGGGGGTCGGTGTTACCCTACCGAAAAGTGATCAGCGGCAATGAAAAGCTAAACCTTTATGGTTCCGCAATTGTGTTCGGAGAAAATGTGACAGAAACACGAATGCTGAAGGTACGTAGGACGTAAACCTAATTTTCTTTGCGAAACGTAATCTGGAAAATTGTAATAATAAGTATAGCGCCAAAGACTGACTTCTTTTTCTTTTTGTCCGACGGCAGTGTGTGGTTTATCTTGGGCGGCGTAATGAGCGAGAGAGAGAGAGAGAGGGAGAGGGGGGAGTAGATTAAAGCCGAGGGAGAGGGTGGGGGCGTGAGAAATGAGTGTCTGTTTTGCGAGGCCGTGACTCATGACTGAATCGAGCTCTACCAAAGCGGGCAGCAGCATGGCAGCAGCCGGCCGGCCGGCGGAGCGCTCCGTCTCTCTCGCACCCTCACGGGCAGCCGGGCCCCCGCGAGTGCGAGAGAGACGGCGCGACGGCCGGCCGAGTGAGGACGGCGGGATTGCATCCGGTCGGACACCGGAAGCGAAGCAAAGCAAGGCGGTCCGGCCGAGACCATTTGAATTTGGCGCCTTTCATGCGGGCCGCCGGGCACCGCACTGCGGATTGGCCGCCAGAAGACCGGCGCAGGCGGACAAAGCTCTAGATGCGTTTTGAGCTCCAGAGTCGCTAAATGGTACTCGAAAGCGTGTGACCCCACCAATGGATTGCTCTCCGAACGAGGAATCCATTGGTGGGGTCACACGTTCGGTTCGAGTCCTGTTTCGGCGACTCTGCAGCCCAAAACGCGTCTAGAGTGTTGG